ATATAGGTTAGATGTAATTTGACATAATCAACAACTATAGTTATCAATACATACTAGTAATCATGGACACTAATTCGGTTGAGAAATGTCAAAATTTTGGACTGGTGAAACACTAAGGATTTCTCAAAGTTAACCTAATCCATAAATGTGTATCGAGTGCTTTTAATCAATAAAAAGGTCAGAGGTCAAGTAAGAGAGACAATCTACATGCATCTAAAGCCAAATAACCACATTAGGAAACCTACGGAGACAGCCAATCACTGGCAAGGTCAGCATCATAAAGCAGTATGACATTTGAGAGTCTCATACCAGTCTCATACTAAAACGAAATGGCTGTCCGCTAATTCTAGGGTTCTAATGGAGAGCATGATACACATTTGCATCAGTTCAAGTGGCCACAGTGACATATCAGCACTGAGAGATGAACAGGTGAAGACAAACACCAAAGTGATGGAAGTCAACAGTATCAATCATAGTAGGCAAGTTAGACAACACGATTTCAAAAAGAATGATTAAGTATTTTCAACGTGAAGAATAAAAACGTCAACATTACCGAAACCATATTCAAATAAGGTCAACCAACATACCCAATCGTTAGTTACGATAATTGTGTATGGACTTAAGCCTCAGTGTAATCTACAAAGAAGTCAAGATCATATGAAATATATTGATAATTTGGCGATGATACAATTTATGAATGAATGTGCACATTATGAATCCGTTGGCCAAATACACCATCAACGACAACAACCTACTGTGGGAGAAAGAACAAACCAGATTCCAGTGCAGGAGTAAAAATCAGGAATAAGCGCTCGAAGAGCATAAAACACACATTGAGGAAAGCACCATCCAATTACTTACTTACTTACGCCTGTTACCCCCAATGGAGCATAGGCCGCCCACCAGTTTTCTCCAACCAACTCTGTCCTGGGCTTCCCTTTTCCAGTTCTGTCCAATTTTTGTTCATTCCTCTCATATCTTTCTCTATTTCTCGGAGTAATGTGTTCATTGGAATTCCTCTTTTCCTTTTGCCTTCAGGGTTCCATGTGAGGGCTTGTCTCGTGACGCAGTTAGGTGCTTTTCGTAGTGTGTGTCCTATCCACTTCCACCGCTTCTTCCTGATTTCCTCCTCCACTGGAATCTGACTTGTTCTCTCCCACAGTACGTTGTTGCTGATGGTGTCTGGCCAACGAATCCGAAGTATTTTGCGTAGACAACTGTTAATAAACACTTGTATCTTCTGGATGATGGCTTTGGAAGTTCTCCAAGTTTCCGCTCCATACAGTAGAACTGTCTTGACATTTGTACTCAAAATCCTGATTTTGGTTGAAAGTTATTTACCCTACAATTACGTCACAAAATGGCCATCACTTGAAACCTTCAGGGTCTGAGGAAAATAAGAGGATCAAGGAACACATTACGACCGAGAAATAGAGACAGATATGAAAAGAATGAATAAAAATTGGACAGAACTGGAAAGGAAAGCTCAGGAAAGAGTCAGCTAGAGAATACTGGTCGGCGGCCTATGCTCTATTGAGGGTAACAGGTGTAAAAAAAATGTACACATAATCTTCAGACATCCATATATATATATATATATATATATATATATATATATATATATTTCCCAGATGACCTATTCACTATTTCAAATGGTGCTACCTACTTTGCTAAGCTGTATTTGGCGGATGCTTACCTCCAAATTCCTGTCGCGCTCGAATCGAGAGAGTTATTGACAATCAACACTCACCGAGGACTTTTTCAGTATACACGGTTACCCTTTGTTATCGAAAATTCTCCAACAATCTTCCAGCAGATTATGGATACTATTCTGGCAGATTTTCGTGGTGCTGCTATACATACCTTCACGATATCCCTGATTGTCGGCCCAACTGCTGATGAATTGCATACCAGAACACACTCAGTTCTACAAAGCCTCCAAAATAATGGTTTCCGCCTCCGTCCAGAGATATGCCAGTTCTTCTTACGTTCCATTAAATACCCGGGTTTATCTTTGATGCTTCCGGACGACATTCTGATCCTCAAAATACTCATGCAATCCAACAAATGACTGCTCCCACTGATGTCTCCTCACTGCTATCATTTTTGGGAATCGTTATATTCAGCATTTCTTCCATCATTGCATGACGCACAATACCCATTAAATCATCTGCTAGAAAAGAATGCTACTTGGAGTCGGCCCACTTAACGTGAGTCAGCTTTTTCAAAACTTAAAGCCATGCTAAGCTCTAAACTACTGCTAACCCACTACAATCCCAAGCTACACATTGTGGTCGCTGCTGAGGCTTCAACACATGAACTGTGTGCCGTACTATTGTATATCTTTCCCGACGATTCAGAGAAGGCGGTGATGCGTGCTTCGAGAACACTAACACCTGCTGAGGAACATTACGATCAGATCGAGGAAGCGTTAGTCCTAGTTTTTGTTGTCCTGCGATTCCACAAACTCAAATACGGGTGCCGCTTCACCCTGCTCACAGACCATAAACAGTTGTTATCAATCTTTGGATCAAAGAAAGACATTCCTGCCCATTCTGCTAATCGTCATCAACGTTGAGCGTTGGCGTTAATGGAGTAAGACTTCGAAATCCAGCATCAATGCTCCAGAGATTTCAGGTCAGTTGACGCACTGTCCATACTTATCAGTAACCATTCTACCACTGACAGCCACAATATCGAAGGAAGAGGACTCCAGTGCTGAACTACTAGCGAGTGCCATTTGAGCAATGCCTGTTACTGCTTATGTTCAGAAACCTACCAGAGACGACCCGAGCATCGAAGAAGCGATCACCTATGGCGAATCGTCGCAGTGTCTTTGCGTTGTTAACGATTGTCTGATGTTCGGTGATAGCGTAGTTATTCAAACAACCCTACGTTCCAAGGGCGTATGTCTATCTCACTTTAGACACCCAGGGATAAACCGTATGAAATCCATTGCTCAGAGCTATGCATATTGGCCGAACATGGATAAACAGATAGTCAACTTCGTCAAAAGATGTTCACATTGTCAAACAGCCACGAAAAACTCCCTCCAAATCGCCACCAGTACCCTAGCCAAAGTCAGAAATACCCTGGTCGCGATTGCGCATTGACTTCGCCGGACTCCTAGATGGTACCACATATCTGATACCGGTCGACTACTTCGTCAAATGGCCGGAGATATTGCAGACTTCGCCACCCTCTACAAATCGAACCACCAAACTCCTTAATCAGATTTTCATTCAGAATGGTCTTTCAGAAACAATAGTAACAGACAATGGTTCGCAGTTCACATCCAGTCAATTCCGAGAATTTTGTCTGAAAAACTCGGCCAACCATGTCCGATATCCGTCATATCATCCGCAATCTAATGGACAAGCTGAAGGGTTCGTTGACACACTTAGACGAGCCATGCTTAATGCACAAGGGGAGGAAACAACATACGACATCATAGAACGATTTCTATTTGTGTATCGGACGACCCCACATGACTTATTAGCAAACTTAAAATTCCCTACTGAGATGCTAATGGGACGAAAGCTACGGGCAGTTCATAATGCGATGATACCCAAGCGATTGAACCAGCAAAGCCCTCAGATGCAGACTACGCGAATCTCTTACGAAGTTGGTGCCAAAGTGTATGCGCGGGACTACAGACACGGATGTGATAGATGGATAGAGGGTGAAGTCAAAAAGAAACATGGGAACGTCATGTCTGATGTCAGGGTGAACCAAGATATCTGGACCAGGCACTATGATCAACTAAGGCCAAGGGAAGCTAAGGAAAGAGGTGAAATTACGAAACGCGTCTCACTCGACTTGCTAATGGATACTTTTGAACTTCTGCCAATACCTCCGACAGAAACAACCGAGTCATCTACTCAAGCAGAACATCTTTCAGGTTCTGGGTTGTTACCTCGAAGGAGGTGGGATCGCAACCAAAAAATTTCAGGTCAACCCTCGGTTGCGTCGCTATTAACTTTTTCCAAAAGAAAGTGTTAGGATATTCATAAAATATCCCATTGCACGTAAAATCATGCTTTCACATGTTTCCAATCTTTTTACACATGTCGTTTCCTATTGGTCAATATTTACGGTCGTTCTGACTGTATGATTATTATGCATTGTCTGTATTCTGTATTCGGACCGCATAAACAACTTTCATCTAACGGTGTTGTGTTCTGATATATTAGGGATTTGGGGAACAGAATTTGCGATCGTGCTGGATATCTGAATTCGGCCAGTCGGTAGAAATTCGAGTAGCCAAATCGCGCGAATTATAATAATAATAATAATATCATTTAAATGCTCTCTCTCATCATCGGTTACTATTCTCTCACGGACCCTAACTAGGTAGTAGCAGTAGTAGTGTGGTGCGAGCTACTTATAAGTAGCATATGACGTGAGTGTCAACGTAATGTCTGGCAGCAGAAGATGGGGGAAGATCAAGAAAGGAAGAAGAGTGGGAACACAATGGAATTTGTATGAAACGCATGAATAGTGACAATCGATTGATGTTTTGCAACAGGAACAGTCCAGTTGGATAATGATGGATTGAAGATTTGCAAATTAACCGTTTACGATATGGTATTCCAATTTTACTGAGTAACTCTGTAATTTTCGTTAAATACAACCTGGTTGCCTTCACCTGTGTTCTACTTCACTACAGTAGTATCTACGTACAGGGTTCAGTCCAATAGTCAGTGACTTCGTTACTTACACACACATCTGCACACACACCCACACACCGAATAAATCTACTTGAACAAAAACAAACGTGCATCAAGAAAGCAAGAAACACGTGGATAAATTGTAATTACTATATATAAATAAATATATATATATATATATATATAGAGAGATCTTTTTCTGTTTACTTATTTCAGTTCATTTGAGTAGTATACATCATTTACAAGTGAAAAGAAAAAAAACAACGCACAAACAACAACAGCAACAAATAATAATAATAATATTCCCTGAAATAACTAAAGATATACATAGATAGATAGATAAATAGATATTTATATATTTCGTCAACATTATCAACAATGGTCAGTGTCAATCAGTAGTATCAGCATCAACATATACAAATCGAGAGAAAAAAGCGCACACACGCACGCAGAAATAAAAATGCTCTTTTTTCTCATTGACGAACAAAAAAATAGTAATCATAGACACACACACACAAGCACATTTTAGGATATAATCTTGGATCAATGTTGTCGAAGGTACTGTATATATATTTGATTTGAAGACAAAATAGCCTTTATTATACACAAGCGCACACACGCATAGAAGAATGTAGTTGTTCACTTTGAAGGCAATAATAGAGTGAGCAATTTAGTAAGGATTCTGTGTTCTCCAGTTTGTTGAAGAAACCGAAACTAAACCGAACCAAAAAAAAATAAACGATCATACTCAGTGTGTGTGTGTGTGTATGCAATATTGAAGATAATCGGAACACCACATACATACAGTGTGGACAAGTGGAAGGGGGGTGGAGAAAATGCAGACAATAAAAAACGGAGAAATTTGACTAATAAGCAACATGTTTTTGATGAAATCTCAAAGAGGAGAGAGAGACAGAGAGATGAAAGGAATTAACCACTATCCTCCATTTGTATCTGTCAATCATTTTTTTTAAGTAGGCATTGGATGATAAGGAATTTGTGTAAAATGTCCCGGTGGTCTTCTATTCACCAAATCAGTCGGTGTCCAACCTCCGCCTACACTACCACCACCACCACCAACTATTAATGATGGTGAAGATGGCGGCATAGCAACAACCGGTGAATCGAGTAAAGATAAATTAGTTTGATTATCAGAACAATAGTAATAACAGTAGTAATTATTGTTACTACTACTATTACTATTACTACTACTGTTAGGATGATATAACCCATCTTTCGAATGATATGCATTGATTAATGTTGAAAAAGGTGAAGCGGCTGTTGTTGTTGTATCTAACAACAGCTGGTTATGTTGTTGTAGTCTGCCCATACTATTATTATTGTTATTATTTCTACAAGTATTATGAATTAGACCAGGATAAGGAATATGAGTCGAGGTAGTAGTAACAGTAGTAGTAGTAGTGATAGAACCAATAACTGTTGTAGTAGTAGTACTAGCAGCTTGAATAAATTGATTCGAGCCCATATTATTCAATAGAAAATCAGACGGAGTACTTTGAAAAGATGGTTGTTGTTGAATTACAGGACAATAAGTACTTGATAGCTGTGTTAAAGATGTCGAGTTAGCATTGTCAATAATATGATTATGACATGACTGTACATTTCTTTCCGGAGGAAATGGAAGAATTGGTGATTGAGTTATTATTGAATTATTACAATTACCTGAGTAATTAAAATAATCGGATTTTATAAGAATTGGTGAAACTGTACAATCGGTTGGTGTAGATAAATGAAAATTTTCTGAAAGAATATCTCTTGTACTACTACTTATACTACTTATACTACTATTAGTAGTAGTAGTAGTAATAGCAGTAGTAGTAGTGACAACAAGTGGAAATGTAAAATTCCCTGAATAGACAGGATAAACTGGAGTGGATGATGATTGATTCATATGAATCATTCTATCCTGTTTCATGATTGTAGTTGATAATAAAGATGATGATTGACAAGAACTACTGTCATTCATCATATCCGATATGAAATGATTATTCATTTCAGAAGGTATAAATGGTGGTGGTTGTGGTGGAGGAGCATTTGAAGGATTTACAAAGGGAAATACAGACGGATTAGATTGATACTGTTGAGCAATTGGTAAGCTGGAAAGATGAGAAGGCTCTAAATTGCATGAATTTGGAATGTTAGACAATGAACATGGTAAATGATCCATGCCACATAATTGATTAGGATTTGGAAAACTGGAACAAGTATTTAAACATTGCTGTGCACTAACACTGACACCATACGAAGCCATAGGTGCCAAATAACAGTATGAAGTTGTTGGAAGATGTAACGATGACTCACAAGTTCCCATTACATTAGATGCTGCTCTACACAAATAAGAATTGGATAAATTTTTCTCTTGTGATGTATGCACAATTTGTGCAGGAGTTAAAGGACGACATCCTGTAGATGGGAATCCTGTTGTGCTACCGCACACATTCAATGAGTCGTCATATTGATTGTAAGGAGCATTATAAATAGATTCATTCATTGGTACAACTTCATATGATAAATGTCGCGTATAGGTTGATTTCAGTGGATTACCATTACCCTCTGACCATGGAACAGAAGATAATGAAGACATTGGAAGGACTTCAGTACAAGTTCTTGACTGTTTACATACAGTTTTTGAATTCTTTTTGGTAGTACCACCACGTTTTGTTTTAGAACGAGTTGTTTTTGTTATTGCGGTTGTTGTTGTGGTTGCGGTTGTCGATGTCGGCGCCGCAATACCACCACTATGACTACTATTCAATTGTGGTGAGCATATGTTGTTCATGAATTTGTAATCATGAATAGTTGTTGATTGTTGTTGATGAAAGTAATCAGTAGTATCATAAGCGAAGCTCTGTAAACCATTTGTTGATTGATGTATAATAACAGGAAATTGAGATGATTGTGACAGAACGACGCTACTACCTGTATCATCACTCAGTTCACCACTACCAACACCACTAAGACAATAGTTCATTGATTGGGATGGTACACCAACCACTATTGGATTACAAGTTGTTGTTGTTGTCAATGGCAACTGCTGATCCATACTAATTATTAATGGTAAATTCGATGATATTTGTTCAGAGTAATTAGCGTTTAATAAATTCATATCACATGAATTTTGTAGATTATTAGTAAACAACATATGATCACTCATAGTAGTAGTAGTAGTTGTCGTATTAATAGTAGTAGTAGTAGTAGTAGTGGTAGCAGTAATATTATCCGATTGATCTAAAATATTCGATAGAACTGAACTAGAATAAGAATGTGTTGAACCACAAATCAATTGATCTGTATCAGGTGATACAAAATTCGATGATTCCGACAGAATATCCTCAGTATCACATAACAGCAATGTTTTATCATCATGATTGAATAACAACGACGACGATGTTGTTGTTGGCAAGAATTCTTTAGTAATCATGGCATTTTTCTTATTCTCTGTATAAAAATCATATTGATTGTCAAATGATATTTGATGACAACTATTATCATTAATCAATGTGAATTCAGTAGTTGAATTGAAATCAATTTGCCCTGTTGATGAAGGAAGAATATTTTCTATTTTCGAATTGATATATTCTGGTAAATAGAGATTTTTTATAGGAGACAATTGTTGATTAATGATGATAGGATGATTATGTTGAATGCTGTGTACATCGACAGTAGTAGTAGTAGTAGTAGTAGTAGTAGTCGCAGTAGTAGTAGTAATAGTAGTATGTGTAAGAGAATTGAAATTATTTGGACTAATTGAACAACCAATATCATCACCACTAGATGATGTTAATAATAAATTCTCTGTAGACAATGGAATTGTTGATGTGTATGACAAAGAATTGACATGATTTGATGAATAAGTTACATTTGAATCGGTCACATAATTAATATTTTCTTCTTCTTCTACTTCTTCCTCTTCTTGTTCAGGGAATGATATATTTTGTACATCAGCATTACCATCTAATGGTTTCAATGATGATGTATGAGTTGAATGTAAGTAGAGCAATGTATCAATATCAGTGGTAGTACATGAAGTAGTAGTAGTAGCAGTGGTAGTGGTAGTTATTGTTGACGACAACGTTGTACTACCACTACTGTTACTACAAATCTCTACACCATGATTCAATGCAGAATGATACAAATAATTGACAGTATTGTTTGATGAGGCAACAATGACACTACTATCCCTAGTTGGACTATTATTACAAGAGGATGGAGAGAGAGAAGCGCCAGCAGGAGAAAACAATGTTGATGAATTTAAATCTATACGTTCATCAGAGGTAGTTTGTTTATCAACATCTATCAGGATCGGTGAATGCCGACAACTACACATGGAGAATGATGTAGGCGACTGTGTACCAGCAGCAGCAGAAGCAGTAACAACACTTGAAGGCAGTGTTGTGGAGATTGATTGATTTTCAGGAAATAACAATGGTGTATTCAATAAATCTGTGGATACTTTGACTAAATACTCATCATCATCATCGACATTATCAGATTGTTGCTGTTGGTGTTCGTCTTCTTCAAATAGTAGTGATGACTGATGACTATTGATCGGTGAAGATAACGCTGGCTGAGTAGTACTATTACTAGTAGTAGCAGTAGCAGTAGCAACATTATCAAGTATCATATTGACTTTATCAGACAATGTTGAATAAGTAGAGGCAAATTTCAAATTTGGATGACTATGACAACGACGTGAATTTTCCACAGGATAATAATAATAAGAAGAATAAGAAGAATTACAATCGCACATCATCATTGTCATATCCTCGTCCATCATCATGATTAATTTGGATGGTTCCGATGAATGACGACTACGTTGATCAGTTTGATTAGTATAATTATTCAAATGGAATAGATTGCGTTTTGTTGCTTTCTGTGAAATATTTACATCGTTGAGAAATTCATGCGCACCTTCTTCTAAGAATGGTGGACTTAAACTATCCGATAAACACATGGCGATTGTTTGTTCACTCTTATCATCATCGTTATCGCCATCATTGTGCGCTTGTGAAATCATTGAAAAGAATGAATCCTGATCGTTATTGTCGTCATCATCATCAGCATGATAAATTGATGAGGATTTCAATGGATTATTATTGTTATTATCATGACAGGATTCAATCAATGTCAGTTCATCTGTATCGGTTGTATGATTAATAGTATTATTAATAGTATTATTCATGAATTGACTATTATTTACATAACTACTACTATCTTCTATATAACTGATACTTTTCATATTGACATCAATATGATTATTATTATTATTATTAATATTGTGAAAGTGTTCTTCACCAGTCATGGGTAGAGTTAACACAGTTGAATGATCACTTGCGTAATTATCGGATAAATCAATATGAATTGAGGAAACTGTTGAAGAGGAATACGGTGATACAGGAGGATGCGTTGTTGTTGTTGTTGTCATTAAGTTGTGGTCAGTGGGGTTGAGTAAATATTCTAGAAAAAATGATTAAGAAAACAGAAAATAAAACATTATTTGACAGGAGAATTGATCGTTTTGTGCTCAGTATAATGCACTGATGTCACTCAGTCAGTTACAACATAGAACTTCGTACGTAAGTGTACATAAGTTTAGGTTGAGTGATATACGACATTACTACAGAGATGCGATCATCAGTTCAAATCCCATAGTCGTAGATATAATAAAACTATTGGTAGTTATGGAGAAGAAATGTACAACTGATGAGGAATTCAAAAAAATTAGAGTTTCAGAGAACACAACCAGTGGATGCATCTTCACCATTGCAAACAATTTTCAGCCATGTCATTCAGGGTATCCAACCATCGATTACTATCAATCTCGCAGACCCCAACCAGGTAGTCTGCATCTACCAACATGACTTAATCCACTTGTCAGTGACTTCATGGATTTGCGCCATGTTTTTATATTTGGCCTACCACCCTAGCTTTCTTTCAACTTACTCCTACAAGAAAAAACAACGCTCGTCGAGGCAGTCGATGATTAGGCATTCGTAATACATCTCCTAACCACCCATGTTTTGTTTTGGCCGCCCCTAACTTTCTTCCAACATACTCCTACACTACAAAACAAAGCTCGTCGAGGCAGTCGGTGGTTCGGCATACGCAACACATGTCCCAATCACCTCAACTGATGAAGTTTCATCACTTCATCTATTGATCTGCAATCCTCACCTAGCACCCGATTCCTAATAACAGCGTTGCTCACTCGGGTGTCCCATGATATACGAGCGATGCTTCGAAGACATCTATGATCGAAAACCAGTAACCTACCAATATCTTCTACTCTCACTCGCCATGTTTCACAGCCACACGGAGCCAGAACATTAGTCATCATAAATTCCATAAAAAAAAATATATATATATATATCATCATTAAACAAAACTTACTTGTTTCACTGCAACAATTGGATGGTAATAAAATTGGCGGTTGAATATCCATCCAATGAGTTGACAAAGACGATGATGATGATAAAGGTAACTTAGTAGTAGTAGCAGTAGCAGTAGTAGTAGCCGTAGTACTAGTACTGAAAATAGGTGATACGAATGTTTCCGATTTCATTTCATTCGTTATTAATACCGGTGGTAAAGGTGAATGATGAGGGCGGCGATGACGATAGCGGCGGTGGTGACGACGATTAGTTTGATCGCTTATCGATGGGGATTTATGCCGATGATCCATTTTATTGAATGAAGGCACTGTTAATGGTGTACAATTATTATTGACAGCACGACAAAGTATTGGAGGTGAAGATGAAGAAGACGACGACGAGGAGGAGGAGGACGATGATGATGATGAACTGTCGATTGAATTATCTTTCATTGTATACTGGTGAATTGGAAATTTATAATTTAATGGGATCGATGTACACGATGACGATGATGATGATGTTGAATGTCTAGGCGATGAAGGCCAAGAACGATGATGTTTTTGATGTAGTAACAAATGTTGTAATGAATGCGATCGATTTATATGATTCACAGCCACCGTGTTATCAGATAATGAATGAATGGAGATTTCAGAGCATAAAGGTGTTGTTGTTGAAGTTGTTGTCGTTATAAGACTATCATTCTGTTGTATCTTTTGACAGTAATTACGGTCATGGTGTTTTTGTTGCTGTTGAAGGAATTTTGTTTTCGACAACGATGACAGTATAGGCTGCCGATGATGATGATGATGATTAACAGTGGTAGAGGTAGTAGTAGAAGTAGTAATATTCGTAGTAGTAGTAGCAGTGCAATCAGTATTGAGAATATCCTCCTCCTCCTCACCGTCATCATCGTCATCCAGATTAGTTTCAACATACAACGGAACACTGAGACTAGACTTGAATTTATGTGAAATCCCTAAAGGATCTATTGAATGATAATGATCATGATGATGCGAAGGAGGAGGAGGAGGACGAACACAATGAGCACTATTCATCAAAGAATAATCTATAGCTTTCGTTGTTGAATCCGAAGAAGAAGAAGAAGAGGAGGAGGACGACGACGATGACGTCGACGATGAGGACAAAAGAGAGCCATTTGATTTCGATTGGACAACAAGTAGTTCACTATCATAAAGCGATAAACACGGTGGTGGTCGATTATTGATTTCATTAGTAGTACCAAAGGAATTTTGTGATTTTGACATGAATGAACTAGTATCATGATTATTATGATTATTATTAATACTATTACTCTCAGAATGGATAACATCATTATTCAATGATGTTGGCAAATCAATATCAATAGTGGAGAGACCGTCAGCAAGTGACAACATTGGTGGAGATGGTGTATGAATTGATGTAGGACTAATTGTGGATAACCGATCTACAGTAGCACAATCAATAGTTGATTGTTCTTTCTATGATGAAATATAAGCAAAACAAAAAAATCAATAATTCAAATAGAATCGAGTGTGTACACATCTTAAGTTAAGTGATTCTATTTGTAAATCTGAACAAAAACCATGCGAAACCGATTGCTTTATATAGATTGTGTGTGTGTGTGTGCGTGTACATGTGTAGATGAGTGAGTAGTTTAGTGAGTTATTAGCAGGGGGGAATCCAGGACATGTGTTCCATCCTATTTGAGACTCATCAGCTGAATGTGCTTGTATCTCAGAGTTGACAATCCATTCTGGGACTTGAAGCAAACACCTCTATGCTTCAAACGCTATCGCGTTATCATCTACTTGAAACAAGCGGTACTGAGTTCGATTCCCGGAGTGAACATTAAACACTAGGATGCAGGAATATTCAGTCAAACAGTCCTGGAAAAAAGACGAAATGCATGTACTGGATTCCACTGACAATGCTTGTAACCTAAAAGCAATCATCAATCTGAAGCAATCACAACACACAATGCACATATGTCAAAAAGAGACTGATCAATAATCGCAGTTACCAATACAAATGAATGAATATAACATTTAGAATGTGAGGTAGTTAGTTACACTTTGAAGACAATGGATAAGGGGTCGAGCAATATTGTTGATTGATTGAAGTTAGACATTTACACTGCTAGATGTTGGTTCAATGGTGGTCTATAGGTCAGGTGTTCGAGCACGAAACCTAAATGTCCTGAGTTAGTTTCTTGCGTGCAGAGTTAGTGAATACGAACTGCTGATGAGCCAGTCCTACTACACTACCTACACTAGGATGATGAAATGGTCGTCCAGTGCTTTCAAGTTTCCATAATTGCTCCTCTGACAATGATCGATTCATGACTTCAATAGAAATCTAGCCTCAAAATATCCTATGAACAATTTTCAATCAATATATATATTCAACAATAATATGTTTACTTTTAACCAATTTTGATAGACATCAAGTGGTGTTAAACAAACAAATGAACATTAAGTGAGAAAAAAAACATTTTTTTTTGTTCATATTGATAATCTGTGATAAAATTGTAACAAGTGAATCACATGTTCAAATATTTATTGGATGTATTTTTTAAAAAAAAACGTTGAACACATTTAAATAGTTTGTGATTAATGCGTATTCAACACAAACACAAACACGCACACACACACACAACAGTAAATGTGTGTAAATTCGTGCTTTTTGAACACTGAACCTGTTTACATCTATTGAACTAAACATTATACATATATGTATACATATAAAGCTTCTTTACTAATGTTAAAATTTGAAGGATTTATTTATGCTAAGTATTGAGATAGTTATTTTCACTATAGGGTTGTTGTTGGGGATGGTAGATCCCCAAAATTCGCTTGATAAATGCCTTATTTTGGTTTTCACGTTTGCCGGCATGGGCTGATCAGTTGACCTTGAGATTTCAATTCCCACCAGGAAAATCCATGGCTGTGATTGGCTGCTGTGTATTTTAGTGTGCTATTTTCTTAACTGTCCCAAGGACGTTTCTATGATGTATAAATAAACGAGAGTTGTATGCCTGATTGTACTGTGATTGCTGGGTGTTTGTAGAATATACTTTCTACGCTTACAAAGCCCTCTTACTCTATTTTGGGGATTCAAGGTAGCCTACCTGGACGCTGGTAAAAGTCTCGTTCGTGTTTATCGACTAAGGTAAACTCGTAATAGCCTCAAGCATATTTAGTGACGAACCCAATAGTTGTGGAGATAAATAGATCCATGACTTCAATGAAACTCAACAATGTTAGACTATCATTAGAAACCTGAAAGCACTGAGAGACCGTTTCTTTCTAGTATGAGTTTAGCTTATCATCAGTGCGCATCCAAGATCTCAGTACCCCGGAATCAAACCTAAAACCTTTGGTCTCGCGTGTAACTAACTGCTTAACTTCCAGACCACATAGAGTCGTGGGTTATTTTGAAGTTGGATGTGAACATCGTTAGATGCCGGCTAAGTGGTTTAGGCAGTTCTCCAGCTCTTCTAGGTGAATCCTCCATAGCCACTAATTGGATTTAAGCGTCAGACATTCACTTCCGTCGTCTCATCTTAGTAAACAACACCTGTAACAACAAGAGCGACGGCGGTGAGTATGACTTTCCTAAACAGTGGTTGTATTTGTCATGTGATATTTGGTCAAGAGTGAAGGATAAAACACTTTTAGTATTACCGATCACTCCACACACACACACACATAGACACACAAACAGCCAAAGACTACATAAATTGCCTATATCTATCTATATACACAACAAACAAAAGCAGACCACTTACCTGATGATTTCCATCCAATCGACACAATTGTTCACTAGCACAATCAATATTCTCCACAAGATCATGATCATTTTCAATGAATACAATTGTTGGTGAACTAGAAAATGATGGACGTATTGGTGAAATTTCCAAATAATCCAGTGATGATGATGAGGATGATGGTCGACAATGCGGATCAATGATAGTTGTTTTGCTTGATCCAATTAAGTTATACAATGAACAACAATTATTCATCTTCATTTTCGTATCATGATTACTATGATTAAAAGTTGTCAAAGTACTATTACTATGACTACTACTACTACTACTACTACTAGTACTGCTACTGCTACTACTACTACTACTAGTAGTAGTAGTTTTATAAGTAGTAAACACTGCATTGCTACTACTACTATTATTATTATTATTAGTAGTAGTAGTAGGCATATCATTATCATATGAAAATTTGAAACAATTCATTATAGTTGAAAATAAATTGGTTTCTTTCGCATGATTTATGTGATTACAATTTTTTGTGGATGACGATGATGCTGATGATGATTTTTGAGGTGCATTATACGCTGATAGACGACGAGTTCTAGTTTGAATGGAACATGTATTGGTTGATGTAAATCCAGCGCCGCCGCCGCCACCACCACCTGTGTGTGAGAGAGAATTTATTAAACATTAAGATAACAACTATTCAATAGAATATCCAGTGAGATTATAACTATTATTTATGGATGAACCCGACTGGATCATATCGTTATCAGCCACCAATGGAAGGGGTTCGAGAAAATATTGTCACTCGTTCTAAAGCAAATGTTTAGATTTAGACCGTGTTTTAATGCGAGCTCGTATCTGTTTACCGCACTTACTTGACGTAAGAACAACATCACAATAAAACCTCTTAGGGCTCTCTCCACTTAAGAATATATTTCAGAAACAACTAGAAAAGCAGTTAGGCGGTCATGTAGCAAGTGATACTCACCCTGAAACAGCTTGGAATGATAACCAAAAAAGCTGTGGAAACAGCAGTGATGATATCTGCTAGTAAGGTAAACCATAGGGATTAGGGATAAGCATTGGATCTCGGTAGCATTTATCAAATTGATAGATAACAGCTATTCAATATTGAGAATTTAAAGTTTATGTTGAATAATAATAGAATATCCGGCGAGGTTACAATTATTTACGAATGATTTTTGAGCTGTGCTACAGTGGGCTACAGTGAGGATAGCCACTTTCTCCAACACATTAAAGTTAAGAAAAAGGTTGACAGTTGAATATTAAGGTAAGAGAATTGGAATTCCATGATTTTCATCACTTATCGAGACCAGCTATTCAACTATACGGATCAATAAATTACACGCTCGAATCCATAATAAGTTCGTTCAAACAAAATTATTATTTCGTCGAATACATATCCCTAGTTGATATTTCACTAGATTCTACTTCGAACCCTAATTTTCTCCTTTACTGCTGATACTTCTATTATCTCTACCACTACAGGATTTGAACTGACAATCGCGTCTCTGTGCTAATGTGGTATGGCAAGTTGAACTGACGTACGTACGTAAAAAGCTCTACGTTGTAACTGACTGACTGACTAAGTTGTACGTAGTCGAGCGTGATGATCACTTCACTTATCTGGGGAGTCTCATCAGTGCTGATAGCCTGGTGACTGATGAAATCTCAACGCGGATACAGAAAGCTCGATTGGCTTTTGCCAAGCTGCGTCACTTATGGCGCAGGCGTGATATCCGTTCGCTAACCAAAGGACAGGTGTACTGCGCAACAGTTCTCTCCCCATTCTACTCTATGGCTGTGAAACATGGCCGTTAAGAGTAGAAGATATTCGTAGGTTACTCGATCATAGATGTTTAAGAAGCATTGCTCGTATATCGTGGGACAACCGAGTAATCAATGCTGTCGTTAGGAAACGAGTACTAGGTAGGGATGGCAGATAAATAGATGAAGTGGTGAAACTTCATCAGTTGAGGTGGTTGGGACATGTGCTGCGTATGCCTAACCACCGACTGCCTCGGCGAGGTTTGTTTTGTGGTGTAGGAGTAGGTTGGAAGAAAGCTACGGGTGGCCAAACCAAAACATGGCAGAAATCCATGAAGTCACTGACAACTGGACTGAGTCACGTTGGTAGATGTAGACTACCTGGTTGGGGTCCACGAGACGAAAGTCACCAATGGTCAGAATCGTTTGCAATGGCGCAAGTGTATCCATTCGTTGAGCTCTCTCAAATCCTAATCTTCTGGAATTGTCAGCATATCTACCTTCGTCTTTCTAACCTTATCTCACTGAATTATACTTCTTGAATATTATCTTCGAATCCTAGTCTTCTTCATTACCATTAATACCTCTACTATCTTTATCACTATGAGATTTGATTTGACATTTGCGTCTCTGTGCTAATTTGGGATGGCAACATGAACTTATGTACATACGTACGAAGTTCTACGTTGCAACTGACTGACTGAGTGACTGATGTACGTACGTAAGAAGCTCTACGTTGTAACTGACTGACTGACTGAGTTGTATGTACTAAATATAACTGAAATTTCCACACGAACATTAACAAAGGTGACAAAACAACTTCTAAAAGTACAATTACTATGAATGTAACATTTGTTATGTACAAAACTCTGTCAGTTCCAAGTCTGAATAGAGCAGGAGGAGGCTTGGATATGGAGCTAGCAACCATATCCTGTACAAAAAAAAATGGCTAACCAGGAAAACCAAAAATTATTTGTCACGTAATATAAGAAAAGATGGAATTTAGTCAGCAGCGAAATTCAGGACGTACGTCTCGCCTACACATCCCACAATTGAGGTTCACTCTAGAACTAATGAATCTGTTGTTAGATAGTGTTTAACAACCTTCTTCTCTACATTCATGTATAGTATCGATCAATCCTTGAATGATCTACTCCAATAACGGAGATATTGTTGGCTTAATTGCATACATATACAGTTTATCTTCATCGAGGACATTTTATAGCATTATTGTTTGTGATATTTTGCTACTACTATTGATAGTAACATTCTTGTTTGAATTTTTTTTAACAATGCTTAAGCGAAATCTAACAACACTTGAACAAACGTGTCCTGTTTAATGTTGTCCATATCCATTGATTCTTGAAATTATCATCATTACTCATTATTAGTATGAATTGTCTCAGTCAGCGTAATATCTGTTATATATAATATATATGTGTGTTAGCTTAAATTACCTGCCATAATACTCAATTACTTAGTAAAACGAGATGAAGTTAACATTACCAAAGAAGTCTAAACGATGGAGTAGAAATGACCACAGAAAAGATTGAAATATTGAGAATACTGAGATTGAAAGGGAAGACAGAGAATGAATGTATCAATACTGATCAAATTCATCTAAATTCCTTTTAACATTAATCGTAAACCATAAAAACAAGTGATTTGTACTTATCAATATGATTCAAATCAACAGATATATGATTCAGTTTGACCACTCTTAGCTTTCATCCAATAAACACCGACACCAGCCTATATAACTCGTTCAGATAGGCAGAAGCTAGACATACACCTAGCACACACGGTGTATCGCCTCAGTCGATTAATATAGAAAATCTTATACCAATTCATCGTTACTTTGTACCCAAAACATAATCTCGGCATTGCACATTGAGGTCCATGCACGATATGCAAGCAGTCCTTGGAGTCAGTTAGTCAGTCAGTTACAACGTATAACTTTGTACGTACATACATCAGTTCCAGTTGTCACACTACATTAACACAGACAGATGAAAATGTAGGTTCAAAGCCCAAAGTAGTTGGGGTACTAGAAGTATTAGCAGTAATCGGAGAGATTAGGGTTCAAAAATACTTCCATAGTACTTCCATAGATCACGTTTCACATCCAAAATAAATTGTTAAAAGTCAAGTAAGCTTTCTAAATCTGTGTTGAGACTTCATCATCACTTCACTTACTATGATCGTCCGCCTTAGGTAATGATACAAAGCAGTCACAAAATAAGAGAAAAACACATCATACACATGCTGATATTGTTAATTGACTATCGATCCCGATGATTGTGTACACTGAATAGTTGAAAAGTTAAAATCAATGATGATACCCAGCATTTTTAATTTCTCTACATTTAGATTTAAATTTAACTATTTTTTCACGTTCAAGCTTAATTTTTTTCTTATTGATTTCATACAAAATAAACACCTTGAGCGGATGGATGCACGACTGTAGAAGAGTGTATGAAGTCGCAAGTTAACATTATTACTATTATTATCATAATTATTATTATTATTAGACGCTGTGAGATACAATTCGAGTGATAGAAAATAATAATTTGCACTTATACAGACGAAACGTCAATCAGCTACAATGTGGAACTTCGTACATACGAACACCACATTAGCAAAGAGATACAATTGTCAATTCAAATCCTATAGTACTAGAAATAGTAGAAGTGTGAGCAGTAATCGAAAAGATTACAGTTTGAATAGATTATTTAGGAAGTAAAATTCAATGAAATAAACGTAGAGAGAAAGATAAACGTTAAGAGTAATTCAGAAGATTAAAATTTGACAGAACACAACGAATGTATGCACCTGCGCCATCGCCATGTCATTTGAAGTCTCTAACCATCGATTACTATCATTTCGCGGACATACCTACCAACATAGCTCAGTCCATTCGTCAATGACTTCATGAATTTCTGTCATGTTTTATTTTGGCCGCCCCTAGCTTTCTTCCAACCTCCTCCTACACCACAAAACATAGCTCGACAAGGTAGTCGGTGGTTAGCCATACGTAACACATGTCCCAATCATCTCAAATGACGATGTTTCACCACTTCATCTATTGGTCTGCCATCCCTACCTAGTACTCGTTTCCTAACGACAGCATTGCTTACTCGGTTGTCCCACGATACACAAGCAACGCTTCTAAGACATTTAAGGTCGAATACTAGTAACCTACGAATATCCTCTACTCTTGCTGGCCATGTTTCACCCCATATAGTAGAACAGAGCGAACTTCTGCACAGTAAACTCGTCTTTTGGTTAATAACGGATATCTCACCTACACCATAAGTGACGCAATTTGTCAAAAGCCAGTCGAGCCTTCTACATCCGTGCCCAGATTTCGTCACACACCAGGCTATCAGCACTGATGAGACCTCCAAGATAAATGAAGCGGTCAACAAACTCAACCGCTTTAATCCCTACCATTAGTTCAAGTACCGACTCAACCCAATCCTGAAGCAACATTTTGCATTTCGAGAGGGTAGAATCGCATGCGGAACACACAAAAAGATGTTGAAATCTATCCGGAAAAAAAATCAACTACCATTTATTGAATTTGAACAATCAACAAGGATACACAGAGAAACTGACACAAAATGAACAAACAGAAAACAATAACAACAATACTAGACAAACTAACCAGGTGGAGAAGACGGTGGATCTGGTGGACGTGGACCATCTGAACAAAAACTTCGTTTACGACAAGGTGAAGGATATGGTTTAGTTTTAGAAAGTTTTTTACGTTTATCATTATTATGCGGATGATGATGATGATGATTAACAGTAGTATGATTACAATTATTTGATTTAACATTTGTGGAACTATGTCGTGTTGTAGTAATTTTTAAAGTGTTGTCTTCTTGTTGGTGTTTATTTGACAATTGAGCATTGAAAATAGATTCTGATGAAGGAGGAGGAGGAGATATTGATTCAGTGTGTTTATCAAGTGAATTAGTTGAGCTGAGCGGAGGAGAACGAAGACGTCGTCTAAAATGTATATTCGTTTCATTATCTACAATAGTGTTTGATAATGATTGGTTACAAGAATTATTATTATTATTATTATTATGAGTAGTGTTCACACTTGAACTATTTGAATGAATGCCATCTGTGTTACTGATACTTCGTAAATTACGTCTGTGAGAAGCTGCTGCTGCTGCTGCCGCCGCCGCCTGTGATTTGATGAAATTAGTGCTTGGATTCGTTGAAAATTCATCAGATTGTGAATGACTACGACGTTTTTGAGAAGCAGAAGCAGAAGAAGAAGAAGAGAATTTATTCATTTTCGGTATAGTTGAAGAAGTCTTATTATTTTCAGATGGAATAATCAATGAAGAGTTCTGATGAATAATTGTTTGTGAATTATTAGCATGATCACCACCACAACCACCACCACCACCGCCAGAACTTTCGGCTGAAATGTCCAATTCCTGTAGATTAGAGAGAGAGAGAGAGAGAGAGAGAGAGAATTGAAATGTACGTGACAACTGAACTCAATAATCAAAGGTTTATATGTAGACTTGCTTTTAAGCGATATATTATATATGAAATGAATCGAACCTGAGTTCGAGTCTGCAACAACCTACTAGTTTAGTTAAAACGAATAAATGATCTCATGCAAGCACTCATCACT